TAAACATGTGATGAAAATGAAATTTTCCAATTTTTAAGGAAAATCAGAGGCCCAAAAATCAATATGTGCCATTTGGGAAAATTTTTCAACTAATAATTACTTCAACTTCTATGTTTGAACTACACAAAAACATATCTTTCTCTAAACTTTTCTTTCTATATTTCTCTCAATCTACAAGAAGGCCACACTCAAATAAAAAGAGGAAGAAAAAGAAAAGACTGAACCTGGCCGAAAACAGCAGAAGTTGCAGGAGCAGAATTTACTTATGCATGATTGAAAAATACCTTAAATCATGTAACCTCCATGCATAACTTCTGTTATAAAAAAAAAAAATTAAAAAGAAAGGAATATCATAAAATAAAATAATTTGGTCAATCAAAAAATTGACACAAAGACGCTTTTGATGTTTGCACCAAATTCTCATGCCTGGTCAAAAAGGATAAAAACCTGACACCCCTGACAGAAAAGCAGATGGGACCAAGAGAATGACACTAGAAAAGGAAAGAACAAAAGAATACAGACATGCATGACACATGAAGGAGCATTCAAGAGATCATCTGCCACTGACATTTCCCCCCACTGTTAAGAGCTGAGAAAATGCAGCAGATTGACATCAACCTAATTTCTGAGATTACTCCTATCCCTACCACGGTCTTATTTTAAAAACACCAAAATGAACATTTCTCCAGACTACTATCAATATCTGTCTGATTAACAAACTTTTTGCCATGGCCGAATACCAAAGGACTCAGTCATCACTCTAAAGAAAATAAATAAATATATTATTTATTTTAAACCCTTGAGTCAGTTCATTTTATTCCCAAAGTTTACAATAAAATAATTATCATACCACATATCCACACTGGCAACGTTTTGATATGTGAACTCATATACCATATGTGTAACAATCAAGGTGATGATATTAGTCCAAATGAAAAAACATAATAATGATAATTATGCATCTCAATAATTCAATCATGAATGTGCATTTTATACAGTAATAAATCTTTGCACCAATGCAGTAAATGCAATTGGTGTATTTTAAATATTTATAAATATTTCATTTTTTTTTATACAAGGAAAGGACAATTCCTTATTTAGCAATAAAAGTTTAGAAATACATTTATTTTTAAGAAACTTTTTTTTGTGTTTGTATATAATGATATTCAAAATTTAATAATTAAAATACCATATAACACTTTCAGACACATGTCAAAATGTCACACAAAATGAGAATCAACACAAACACGCATATCAAAATGGAAGGTTCGAGGAAAAGTTGCCAAAAATAAAATCTGAAATATGATTAAACATTTGCATTTGTAAAAAAAGATATAAAAAGAGAATTTTTAAGCAATCATTTTGGTTTGAGTAGATTCAAAACCTCCGAGTTTGTATCCTCCAAAAACAGATAAATATGAGACTAAAAAAATACTGTCACATCGACATCTGACAACTGACTTCCTTTACCTAAAGAAGAAAAACAAAATTGCTAGAGATCAAAAGATTTCCTGACAACTGAAATGAAATGGCAGTCAATACACCTTTACTTCCTTTTTCCTGTAAACTGTGAGTAATGACATTTACAAAAAAAATGAACTTTATCAAACATATGTTCCTGTCTACCAATAGTTCAAATAAGACTTGTATGCTATGAAAAGATACATCAAAAATAAACTTACACACATCTCTAGTTACAAAACTTAGCAAAAATGTAAATAAATCGCAGCTTTAAATTCTATCACAATTATTGGAAATTTATAAAAGATAGCAAGATGGAGGGTAGGGCTTTCCTGTTTTGCATTTGATATTTTCTATCAGTCAGGAAAGGAAACACAGTGTCAAGAGTGTGTGAATCAATAAAAAGCACCAAAGATCTACAAAAAGTTCATATTGATCTCTGTCATCCAGGCATCATGAGGATGATGCATGTGGTTTGGAGCCAGAATTTACCTTTTTCAGTTGAGAATGTGAAACGAATAACAAACGGTTGTCAGATTTGCACTAGAATAAAACCAAGATTCTATAAACCTGAACCAGGAACCCTAATAAAAGCTACACAACCATTTAAGCGGCTCTGCCATCTAAATCCTGAAACAAATATCTACTATCATTGATGAGTACTCGAGATTTCCTTTTGCCTTTCCTTGTCTAGATGAAAGTGAAACAACAGCTATATGCTGTCTTTGCTCACTGTTCTCAATATTCAGACCACCAGCTTAAATTCACACAGATTGCAGAACCTCTTTTATGTCTGACCAACTAAGAAGATTCCTATTGGTACAGGAAGTCGCTGTAAGCTGGACTACCCCATACCATCCTCAAGAGAACGGATAGTGCAAGAGATAAAATGGCATAATATGGAAGACTGTACAGTTAGCACAGTTAAACCAAAACCTTCCAATTAGACATTGGGAAGATATAATAACCAAGGTTCTGTATGCCATAAGAACTCTGTTGTGTACAAAAATTAATGCAACACCTCATGAAAGGTTTTTAAAGTTTTCAAAGTGAAGTTTGCCCAGGATTTCCCTCCTTTCATGGTTGTCACAGCCAGGGTCTGTTTTACTTAGAAACCATGTTTGACAAAGCAAGTATGATTCTCCTGTAAGTAAGGTGGAACTGCTTGAGGTGAACCCATTATATGCACACATCTAATACCCCAATGGGAGACAATTGAACATTTCCCTCAGAGATTTGGCCCCTGTTGGCAAGTTATCAAAACAGAGAGAGGAGCAGCTCTTCCTTGAAGCAATATTTGATAGTAACAACAGCACAATGCCAGTGGATTCTCCTGAGGAACAAGGCCCTGATTCAGAGATCGACACCAGAATAGCTCCATCAAAATGATAGCATACTACCACAGACTCTGATAATCAGTTTTCAGAATTAGAGCATACCACTCCAAGGAGACAAAAACAATATGAGACGAAATACTTCTAGCTGACTGTTTCCATAATAGCTGAAAGCCCAGAGTCAATCCCAAAGAATTGTAAAGCAATGCAGTCACTTTTCTGTCAGACTAAGAGAAAATAAAGCTAGGGAGAATGTGGTAAGACAACTCTTATGATTTGTATAAATAAGTCATACCGTCTTAGCCAAAACGACAAGACTCTTCAGTTACGTTCAATAAAGGCACATTAAGCTGAACTAGACTCTAAGTTTTCATTACAATTTATTGAATGAAATTATGAACCTTAAACCAGAATGTCTCAGTGTGGTCTCTGCAGACCCAAGTTTTCATTACAATCAGTCACTCTTAAATTTTGTTTCGCATTGAAATTATAAATATGATTTTTTGGCAAAACTTCATATTTAATAGTTATACAGTATTTGAATATCTTTGGTTTGGTTTGGTTTGGTTTTTGTTTTATGGTATATCAACCTCAATGGGTTATTTAATGCCAACAAAAATTTATTGCTGGTAATGTGTTTTTCTTCAAAAATCTATTTCTGGGAATATTCCCCCTTGAAGAAATCTATAGCTGGTTATATTTTTTTCAAAGAATGTATAACTGTTTGTATTGCTGGAATTTTTTGTTTTAAAGTATTGCCAATAATAATTTATCCTTCAAAAATTATTGCTGGTAATAATTTTTTTTATTACAAAGTATTTCTGGTATTAAAACCTATTTTTACACAAGTTTGGGTGTTAACTATTTGCCCCTAGCTGGGACCCTAACAGGTGCTACCACCCCGGCTCATGGTGGACCTGGGAACACCAGCAATTAAGAGGTGGTTCCATGCCCCTCAAACCTCTTGATCAGAGGCCTTGCTGTTGGACGTAGTTTATCATCTTACCCAGGACGTGGATGTAGTTTATCATCATACCCAGGACGTAGAATATCAGTTAATTTTTATTAACTGAATACTTAAGGTTTAAAATTCTTTTCTAGCTGTTAGCATCCACTGGTAATTTGCTGCTGTGCCAGTCAGAGGTATTCAAATCACCAAAATATTTCTAGAAAAGGAAGCTATGTTATGGCAGTGGAAAAGTGACTGAAACCAAGATGCCAGGTCAGAATTAATAACTTTGCAAATTCTTCTTAGGATTTTATCAAAAATTTATAGATATACTAGCAGTAAAGCCCCGGTGTTGCTCTGTAGTTAAATTCCTTTGGGGTTTGAATTATTGAACTTACGCACGTATCTGCAGTTGTTGAGGTCATTGATAGACCAGGAATCTCACTGGTAGCAAAATCAATGAGATTAAGGGCAACCGGTTGCAATAGGTGGTTGCTGTGTTGCTGCTCCGTGCTTACCCGAAGACTGCCACCCGTTCATAATTGGTCGAGATTTTTAATTCTGGCAATGTAAAATAGTGGTTGCTTTTTCACTGTAGGACCCGATTAACATATCAGCGTCGGTGGTCGGGAAAGCTGCTCTACTCCAGTTTGCACACGTTCGCCTACCCGACCCTACTTAAGTACGACTTGCTTAGTCTTGTTGGAAAGCCCTTGACCTAGTGGTGAATTTGTGTCCATTCCTTTTTTTGGCATAAGTCTGGAATGTTCATTTATTGAACCAAGAATGATTTGACTTCATTTCCTATGGCATTATTGGAAATAAGTCAACCCCTAAGTATGTCTTGAATCATCTCTTTTTTTAACGCCTGACTTCAGTAAACACAAAAGCACACAACGGTACGTGCAACACAAGCTGAGTGAAAAATGGTGATGGCACTACCGCAAACAGGTCAACAGGTAGGTGTGTGAGAAGCAAGGCGGAGACGAAATTAATTGGCTGCCACTAGAAAGATTCCACGAAGCCAACTCCCTGCAGCAGACAAATTGTACAGGTGTAGATTAATTCATTAGGCAAAACCTGGCTAAGGCCAATACAGAGATTTCAAACTAATCCCACAAAGGTTAAGAGTGATGTCTGTGATGCGTTTCATGTAACACTGCCGGAACAAAACACTGAAACCTAGGGAAAGCGTATGTCATTGCAAGCTCCCTGTAGCGCTCAGCTATTAAAAAATGTTGGGAATGGATGCAGCATCAGCGATGCATTTGCCCGGGGGGGGGGGGGGGGCGCTTACAATTATTGATACCTCCACAGCGTAGATGATAGTGGTGTAATGGAGATGACAGTGGCAGTAGACGGGAGGGTTTGACAGAAAACGCAAACAGCCATGCGAATACGCCGAAGGCAGGTGGAAGGAAGTGTTTATCTGGTGCGATGTAGTAACAATGGGAGACAAATTTCACCGACGTCTGTAAGGTTGGTAGGCTGTGAAGGTGTGGTAAAAGGGAAAGCTGCTCTTGGGAATTGGTGGTTTGTACTGTCTCCGACGGTTTATACAGTCCTGAAGACCGCATAGAGGTAAACTGTCAGTCGCCGCCTACGTCACATCAACATACAGAACCTCCTTGTAAACGACATTTTTTGCAGAACTCCTGGGAGTGAAGACGAATGTGTCCTCGCTTCTACCTACACGCGAACAGCCTACATAAAGCTGGCCGTGGGAAAAAACACTGCTCTCCAAGGTGAATTCCCACGATACGTAGTGTTTGGCACTGTGATTTATTAATAGACATTGCAAAGCAAAGTCTGACGGGAAACTACGACTGGCGGAATGTAAAGGGCACATCTGAACCCGTTGGAGATAGATGCATGCGGTATGAATACAGTTTCACCCCTTCAGCAACCGGTAAGAATTGTCGCTTCAATTAAAGACTTAACCACCATGCGTGTACCATAGCACTGTTTCGGGGGAACCAGTTTACGCAAAAGCATAATGGGCGCGCCCACATTCAGTCTCAGTGTGTGAGGCAGAAGCCCCGACAGTTCTAAGGAATTCAGAAGTTCGACCAGGTAGTCCGTAAGGTTGTCCGGGTCGGGCGTCCTGTCAATGGATTTGTAGATGTAATTGTCCCCGGGAATGCACTGCAGGAGTTGCTCATTAATGCTAGTAACTGTGTGTTTTGGGGAGCAAGAACAACTCTTTCAGAGAGCCACTCAAGGTCACAGTAGTTGGCACTAAGATGCAGAAAGACGGCATCTCTGAGATGTTGATGGGTGTCAACAACTGAACACAGTGTTCCCACGTTAACGTAGCCTTCTGCGTCTGAAGGTGTTCGGCCCTCCCCGAGGGCTAGAAGGTCCCTTGAAAAATCAGCGGACCTGTTGCCCCCAGTAGTATGAGCGATCATGTTGGTGGTCAGGTGCAATGACTGGACATGGGCCCAGAGGTTGTACGACTTTAGGCATGCAACGAACAGCAGTGGCCCTTGTCCCTTTAGGCAGGCAGGGTTTGTCGAAAGTCAACTGACAGAAGGAGAGTCAAGCCACCCATGAGAGCAGTGGACTCCCTAATGTCTTGAAGGGAACTATTCAACGCCTCCAGTGCTTGTTTGTGAGCCATAGTGCACTCGTCCCACACTATGAGTTTACAACGTCTTAATACGTCAGCCTGACCTGAATTTTTTGAAATGCTGCAAGTTGAAATTTCATCCTTGGCAAGGTCAAGCGGAAGTCTAAACATAGAGTGCGCCGTCCGTCCGTCCGCCTGGCAGCAATGTAGCCGCAATCCAGAATGAGTCAACAGTAAGCGCGATGTTTCCGTGCTGCCTGATTTCAGCTAGAATTAGTTTTGTAACGAACGTCTTCCTGGTACCACTGGGTGCGTCTAGGAAGAAGATGCACTGTTGTCGGACAGCGTCAATCACCGTGGTGTAAACTGTTCTTTGTTCTGGTAGGAGGCGTAATTCATTCTCTCTGGTCGAGGTCAGCAGTGCAATAAGATGTTTCGTGCAATATTTATGGTGATAAGTCGGCGGTGCCATCTCGCACTGGCGGAGGTAACCCATATGTAGTTAGTGCAGCTCCACCCATTTCAAGATCAATGTCTTCAACCTGAAAGAGTGCCCTATTGTAAATAAGGTCCGTGTAGCCCAACTTGGCTGACGGACATTGCTGCTGTGCCGTGTACAAAATGTCTTCCGACATAAAGTCTTTGTACTTAGTGTTGCACACGACGCCGTCAACAGTGCGAATGGCCTCGAAGCTTGTTGGACCAACAACCTTATGAAGAAGAAGCCGGAGGAAGAAGCACTCCTGCTGATTTGGTGACAGTGTAGACCCAACGAAGGCAGGTGTCAAACTTAATGCCGGGATACGTGTCAACGCTCAGGCCAGACTTCCTGCGACTCCAAATATTGTTTGCCCAAATATAGTATGATGGATATAGCAAAGTTCGAGCGAACTCGTCATGAAGGCACAACTTAAAAAAGGTTGTTAAAGTTGTGTCTTTCGGGTTTTCGGTGATAGTACAGCAGTTCGTTCAGTGAAGTAAATCCACTGTCCCATTGCTGGATGCCTCTGGTGAATTGGGAAGCCGAAAGCGCGCCAAAAAGCCTCATTGCTGCTGAGGTACTGCCCAGCCAAGTACTGCGAAACTTCGTCTCAGCATCGCTGCCCTTGTTAACGTACTTACATATGTATTTAATGGAGCGGACGGAATTGCAGAACTCAACGTTTATATGAGCATTGAATATTTTTATGAGAAGGGGACAGTAGGGGACCACCCAACTGTTGTCAACACGGTGCCCCCCAACTTGCATCGTTCGCCCGCTCCTGGCCGGAGCCCTTCGTCGATACAAAGGATATCCGTCTCAACTGGTTTGTGTCTCATCAACAAATGTCTTAGGAAACCTCTTAGAGCACAGTGTGCCATTTTGACAGCAGGGGCGTGCCTCGTAGCTTGGACCGCATGGCCCATGGACCATGTGGGATCTCACAGCCTCAAATAGGTCCCTGTCCTCATCTGGATCCGAAATTTCGGCAGAAATAACGCTGTCAATTTGACTCGCGTCAATTTTTGTAGAAAGCCAAATGAGTATGTGGGCATGGTGTAGTCCCCATTTTTGCCACTCAACAGTGTACATGTCACATCTAACATTCATAACATACTGCGTGCATTCATGCATGTAACACGAGTGTAGATAGAGGGCAGAATGCGGGGATTGACTTCATTTCGAAGGCTGTCGCGTAAGTGTACGTAGGAGTCTGAGCGCAGCTGTTTCTGATGATTCTGTATAAAACAAAGCCTCTCTGATTCCATCTTAGCAGCCATGTCAACCGCAAACTGGTGGAAAAGCTCCCTGCATCACTGAAGCAGGTTGAAGTCTCCATCCCTAACCATGAACCAGTATGAGTAGAAGGCCTTGCACGATAAGGCTTTGGAAGACGTTGTAGGTTGGCCACCCGTAGTATGAAGGGGAATGACAAAGTGGTAGCCATCGTCACCATAAGGGAAAAGTCAAGGGTATTGCAATGCGTCATATGATCGATGGGTCTCTGAAATCCTGCGAAGAGTGCCGCCTCTTGATTTGAGGACAATATCATGAGTGCAGTCTTGCTCCCCATGTATAATAGCGGCCACTTTGTTGCACGCAGGAGCATTGTCGGCGTAAATTACAATACTGAAGGAAGGAAAGGGAGCATTTTCCAAAGCATATTTGAAACTGCGAATGTAGCTGTTAACCTCGTGAAGCATGGCCAGAAGGTTGTAGTCTGCAATAAAGTACAGTTGAAGGAATTTAGGTGTAGAGGTCTCCCAATGTGGTGGTATACCTGCCCTTGTACTTTGAAAGTGGGCATCCAACCCTCTTTTTGAACCACCTGAGCCCCAAATGAGGTCATTTGAAATGAGTTGTTGTATTGCCTAATTGTTTTAAGTAAGTGGTTGGAGTCGGGATGGGAGCCAGCTATTAGTCCCCTCAACAAGGTAGGTGGTTCATGTAGAGGTGGCAGTCGAACTTTGCTGGAGGAGCAGCACAGACCGACAGGCTCCCCGGCCCATTTGCGGGCATTGCAGAATTGGCAAACAGAGGTCATGGACACTACATTGATGTCGTCACGCGTAGTTAAGTTAATGCTGAGGTCGTAATTAAAAGTCAAGAAAGACCAAAAAGAGCTACTGGGATAGGTAACATCATAGTTGGCTGCAAGGTGCTGAATGTCGAGGCGTATGCGGTGAGCTTGTGGAGTTTGAGATAAGCGCACAGTGGCCATATTTGTAGCAGCCCTTGAAAGTCTGTTTGCCCCTGTCTTTGGGCCCTTGGAGTTTCTGGCAGCAGAAGTTGCTGCAGCGTTGAGGGCATTGCGGGTTGCCCGCTGCAGCTCTGTCTTGGACTCCCTCAACCTAGCTGTTGCAGCAGCGTCCCTGGATTGATGGGCACACCTGCAGTCAAATGTTTCAGCTGCCCTCGACCTGGAAGTAGTGGCAGCATTCCTAGCATTTTGCACAAACCTACAGAGTGGTGTCTCAGCAAAACCCTAGTGGTCGCTGTTGCATCAGCATCCCTGGATTGACAGGGGCACCTGCGGTCAAATGTTTCAGCTGCCCTTGACCTGGCAGTGGTGGCAGCATTCCTAGCATTTCGCACAGATCTACAGAGCGGTGTCTCAGCAGCCCTAGTGGTCGCTGTTGCATCAGCATCCCTGGATTGACAGGGGCGCCTGCGGTCAAATGTTTCAGCTGCCCTCGACCTGGCAGTGGTGGCAGCATTCCTAGCATTTTGCACAGACCTACAGAGCGGTGTCTCAGCAGCCCTAGCAGTTGCTGCTGCAGCAGCATCCCTGGATTGACAGGGGCGTCTGCGGTCAATTGTTTCAGCTGCCTTTGACCTGGCAGTGGTGGCAGTATTTCTAGCATTTCGAACAGACCTACGACATTGCTCAACGTAACATTGCTCAACGTGAGTTTGGTGGATATCACTTGTAATTTGTGAAAACTATCACTGAAAAACTGATGAATTTTTTTTTAAACAATAATCGACCCCCTATCAGTTTTAGCGATTTTTTTCAAAATCGGAGGAACAATCGAAAAATCCGAAGATGTCAAGTACGAATGCCGTAAATTTCCGATCAGTGTGTGAATTTTCATGCCAATTCAACAAACAGTTTGCTCAGGATGAGGTAACAAGGTGACAGACACACTAACAGAATGCCATTTATAGATAGAGATACAATGCAAATTTCATATAAATATTCAAATAATTAGGCTATAAACTTATTGGTCTACTCTTGTATCTAGTATTTTTGCATTTTTAAAATTATTTTACAGATTAGGTTTAATAAATAGAAAAATTGCATGAAATTAAATTCCCTATATTAAAACAAATTCTATTCTTCAACTTTTATTATCATTTCTCTTCCCTGTTGTCATTCATTCTGATCTGTTATGATTAATTTAAGTCAATAACAAAAACAAAATTAGTATTTATTCAAAGTAAATGCTGGTTTGCTGGATTGTCAAGGAAATATTTATTGAATAACTGACAAATACATTATTTAAAAATATCATTTTAAAATTTTATAATTTTCAAAAAAATAAGAAAGAAATCAAACTGTCAAGTTAAAAATAAAATCAGCAATTGAGAAAATTAATTTGTTTAGTAAAAAATGAATTTAAATACACATTTTGTAACATCTGCATTTATTTTGAATAGATTTTATTTTTATTTAAAAGATTTTTCAACTGATACCTATATTCTTATTTTATTATTAAACAAGCTGTATGAATGCATGAGTTTGCCTGTGTATGCTGTGGAGGGTTGTATTTGACTTTGTGATGCTAACAGAAGTTCAATGTCGATAGAATGCAATAAACAAAACAAAGACTTGAATAGAAAATGACTTGACAATGTTTATTGACATATGTGGGTACAAAGATGCAAATGTGTGGAGAATGGTTGACCTCTTGTCAGTCTGACATTGAGTGAGGGTGACCAAATCTCCCTTTTTTTGAGATGGCTATCAAACATGTCCAAATTCAATGGTTGGAAATTGGGGTCATAAAATTCACACATTACCGGAAACCTTTTTTGGTTTCCTTTTTCTTTTTGCATTATGGGAAAATGAAATTCTTCATTTTTTTAATTATTATTTTATTTATTAGTTTATTTTCATTCTCCCACAATACATCCTCACCCAAAAGCAAAACTATATAAATACATTATTTGCTAGAAATACATAAATTCATTCTTTTTAGAAAATATTACCTGTCTTCCTGAGCATGTGGTTCTAGGTTGAGCTTGAGATTGTTCTAATTTTGTGGGGTCTTCATCTGGGGTATTTTTCTTGGCTGATAGTTCATATGTAGGAGTGTCATTATCAGTTGTTGCCATTCCCTTTAATTTTGGATCAGGCAGCTACTTTTGACTGTGTTACAGGCTTCAGTCTGTCCAAGCACACATTTTGATGATTTCCATAATGGAGCTCAATAACAAAATATTTTTCATGTTTTTTTATGACATTATTAAATGGTCCAGTGTAAGGGGCTTCTAAAGAGCACCACACTCTGTCAGCCAGACATGTGTACATTTATTTAGTTCTTGGGGAATGAAAGGCTTTGATGTAGGCATCATTCAGTGAGAAATTCTGTTTAAAGTTTTATCATCTCTTGTGCTAATTGCTGAACCTTTTCATTGGTAAACTCCATAGATTCCTTTTCAACCATAGGCTTGGGTAGTAACACTGAAGTCCCTGTTACTAAAACAGCTAGTGAGTAACCTTGATCTGTTGAAGTAAAAAGAAAGCACAGCAAAGAAAAAAGACAAAAAACATGGTCGCATGTCTCAGTTTCTTTCACACCCTAGCTGTCTTTAGGAATACTGTTAAGAACACGTTTTTCCTCACTACCCTGGTGTAAATCTTGTTCGTTCTTTTATTGTATCACAAAGTACTTGATATGGGTGTTTGGATTAAATTTGCATATGGATATGCAAATTGCATCACTCTTTCAACATCTTGGATTGTATGTTCATTCTACTCAGATAAATCAACCTCAGCTAGTTAATGTGAGGCTCAAGTTCAAATCAAACTGAAATCAGTTCTGCTTATGGCTACAAACAATGCATGTTACCATGCAAATTTTTTGCAGCAGGTGAAAAATGCCTTCTCTCAGCATCTCCTTCATTACATTCCTCCAACCCCAAAGACCATCATCAGGCAGTTCGTCATCATCCAAATTACTGGTGTCAGAAGTATCATCTAGCGATACCACCCTTAGCCTTTCTAATGGCTCACTTTCTTCTGACGAGCCACTGGTGTTCCTGAATGGCACATGCCCTCTTGAAATTTTTTTACATGATGAGGAGTTCCATTAACAAGCACCAAGTGGGGACTGTTGATTCCAGTCATCCAGCCCATCCTGGACATACCCATACATCTGCTGTGTAGAATTCAGACCCATACAGTATCCCCCACCTGGAACTGTCACTGGACATCCTGCAGTTTGGGGTGTCCACTGGATCAATATCCTGTATCCAGACATTGTAGGTGTGTATGACATTGGCTGGCACTGTTGAGGTTGAGAAACTGTCGTTGGTGTGACATTGTACCAGTAGACTACCTCTGGTCTGGAACATTGTTTCCTAGCTGCAATGGTTTTTACCCTTTTGTGGCTTCTCTCAACTATACTGTTTCCTACTGGTTTATAAGCACTCTGGAACAAAGATGTATGCCCCAGTAACACAGGAACTGCCGAAAGTATTGGCTGGTAAATGCAGTGCTGTTGTCAGTCAGGATCTCAACCCTTGGGCCACACTCATAAAATATAAACACCAGCTGGCATATTACACTTTTTGAGTCCTGCCAGCTCATGGGGTGCCAGATGGCAAATCATGAGGGACCACAATCAATAAGTGTAAGATAGTGGCCACATCTATGATGAGTAATGTCCACACCTAACCTGCTCTAATTGTTCTTCATGTCAAGCCTCCCTTTTCACCAGTGTACAGGCACGGAATCAATTGACTGGCATGCTTCACATGTCTTCATTGCCATTCATACATTGGCTTTTGAAACAGTCAGGTCTCTCTGTTTGGCAAAATATAACGTGTTTTATTCTGTTGATGGATATGCACTATTTGCTGAATGCTCAGCCAATTTGCAGAAGCAGTGCATGTATGCTGGGTGGGCTCAACTTCTGTTTTTACTCTGCTCAGCCACCGCTGAGGTACTCTTGTTAGTTGGTCTGCTTTGTTGTCGTCTGTCTTGTCTAGTGCTATATCCGCTGATAGCCCATACTCATTAATCAGGTCTACAAGTGTACCAAGCCATCTTCAT